GTGCAGGGCAGACCTGTGTCAACACACTGCCTGCAAGGGTCCCTCAAGACCATACCCCTGTCTGCACACAGGAGAAGGTGAGCCTTAGATGACAGTTGTCCAGAAGCTTCCAGGGCTAGCACTGGTTTGAAAGCCTGTGACATCTGCTGCTGTTTGCAGAAGAGAGTATTTCTCCTTCGAATGTACTATGCAGAACATCTCTCAGGTCTCACTTGGACTAGTTGTGCTATTAAGTATTGAAAGTTCTCGGCATATAGGTATTTCTGAGGAAGTATTTGTTAAACCTTTCATTTCAATTTTTTTATTGTTGGATTTTTGTAGTCACTGCCAATTATTTCTGACAGGACAGTGTATCGCCTTAAGAAAAAAAAAAGTAGTATGTTACAAGAAATGAAGTGTCAAAAAAGATTAGGAGTTAAGAGTGCTGTTCAAAACACTAGTTGCCTAGTTTTCCTAGGCAACTGAATAAACGAAATAAAATAAAATACAAGCTGTAAAGTATTCATTAAATTAAAAAAAGCCAGAATGTCATTAGTTAAAAATCCTATATTGTATATGGAATCACAAGTTTCTATAATCAGGCACCACATTTGCTGATTCATCTGCCTTTTTGGCTTGATTTCCCCCACCCCCATGTTTCTATAAGCAAAAACAAATCAAAAGTAAAATCAATAAAGAAATGACTGTTATAGAAATCCAATTGGCCTACAAATTCTTTGTTTTCTACCTCCTTCCTGGCTTTTGTACAGACTGAGATAACAAGTTTATTTTCTTTTTCCAAACATTTTCAATTTTATTACTTCGCTTTCTGCTTTCATTCACTATTATCCATGTCATTATCCTCCTCATCACCGTCATCATCATCATCGTCACCTTCTGACAAGTCAAACTCACTGAACCCCAGGGCCATGTTGACCTTCTTCCCCTTTCTCTTAGATGTGGTTTTAGAAGAATTCTGCTTGGCTTGCATGTTTATCTGCATCCCAGAATGCAGCACAGCTCCTGCTTTGTTCATTGAGAAGATATCCCCAAAGCCCATCAGCATCATGGCCTGCAGGCTCTGGTTCATGCCATGGCCCTCCCCGTTACTTGTTGCTGTGATCTGACATGACATCTCTGCACTGTTTGACTCCTCTGTCTTAGATTCAAAGTAAGACTCCTCAGACATTCTTGCAGCAAGAGGCAAGAGAAGCTATCACAAGGGAAGAGAGGACAGAAGTAAAAAGAGAAATTAGGATCAATTTAAACAAAGGAAAACAGATACCACAAAATTAGCGGGCACTGCACAGAAGGTACATGATTAGGGAAGTAAATGGATCCAGGGAATTATGTGAGAATTTATTTACTGGCGTGTTTGGCTGCAGGAGATTTGCCATAATTTATAAATGACAGAATCAATCACAACCCAAAGTTTGCAAAGCACTGTCGGAAGCCAGATTTCAAATGGGAAGGAAGTTGCACATTTTAAGCCTTCATTTTGCTTAAAACAGAACAGTTTTTAGGATTTCTCTTAATTTTTCCCAATTTCACTTTCATCGGAGAAACATTAGTTAACTAGTATATTAAAAAAGAAATTAAATGGAGATGAAATCTCAAGTAAAAAAATCAAGAGACCTTGAACCAAAGAAGAAAAGCTTGGAGGAAGCATGGAAACAGCTCAGCAGTCAATATAGTTCTAAAAATAAGTGGGTCATTGATTACCCTTTTTTTCATTAATTACCCTTTTAGCTAAATTAGGATCTGAATCTAAACCAAAAAATGAGGCCAGAATTCACTTGTTTCCATTTATTATTTATTACAGCTAGATAAGATACAATACTAGTTATCTGATTTATGAAACAATTGTGGACAAATTCTAGATTCTGTCTCTAATAGTTATGTTATAAACAAGTACGTAAGTACATGTGAAAATTGGGAGGAAAGGGAATTACTGCTAATTTAGATTGTTACTTTTTTTCTCTATTCTCTACTATGTAAAAATAGAGAATACTAAGAATTTCTTCTTCAGTATGATTTTATTTTTAGGAATTCTTTTCACAGTGGATACAGACCTTAATTTTTCTACCTTATGTAATTATGTTGAACAGCCAATCTATTTCCATAAATGTTGGTCAGGTTCATTTTGGGAGTAAAACTGTTTGGCTCTGAAAAGTGTTACTGCCTCTTTTCTTGAGAAATAAGCAAATTAAGGCTTACATTTTTGGTGATGTTTAAACATGGGTAAATTTATGATAATGTACAAATATATCACTGTGGGGTGACCTTTACCTTCTGGGTGTAAATATGCATTTGGGGGCCAATTTCCTAACTTTCAAATTAAAATTGGAGCTGAGTTTTTAAAAAATCCTACTCTATGAAGAAAAGACTTCTGAGGTTGTTAGTTCAAAAAGAATTTCATCTAATTCTTCTATAGAAAATAATGGCTTTAGATCCTTTAACACTGGAAACAGGATATTATTTTCCTTGTAGTCAAATTTCCCAGCTTCGCAAATTTGTTTTCAGTTGTTAGATGCTCTTGGGAAATTCTTTGTGGCTTGTTTTTTTTAATTATCTTATGGGTCCTTCCTCACATTATATTAAGATCTTAATAAATGTCTCTCAAATAAGCTTTTACTCTTAAAAGAAATAAAGTTTTTTTTTACATCAAGCTACAATAATATAATAATTATAAAACAAACACTGTTTATATATATATATATGTATATATATTTGGAGAATTCATCTTCCCAAATATCTTTAAGTAATATTTTAATTTCAGGGAAGAAAATAGTGTCCTTCCTCAAAATAAAATCCAATAATACAATTTTAAAGGAGGTATGTCAATTTTAAACTTCTATAATTAAGACGAGGCTACCTACAGGAAACTTAAATCTCCAGCCACTTCCTTTTTAAAAGCTTTATTTTATCCTTCTCTCAGAAACCTCATTTACACTCATCTAGACACTGGTGTGAGGATTAAAGAAAATACCTACTTATAAAGTACCTGAGCACAAACTTTCTTTCCTTCAGAGACACCAGCTCCGAGCAGAAGAGACATTAAAGGCAAGTATGTAAAGAAAGAAAACTCCGCGCTCACAAGTAAGAAAAGGGAAGAGAATCTCGCTGAGACGGTGCCTCATGCTGGCCATTATTAGACGGCAGCCCTCAGAGCAGCTCCTTTACAGAAAGTTTTCTGCGGTTAAAATGCAGCATACAGCCTACCGAGCACTCCCAGTGTTTCATTCTCTATTACACAACTACGTTACTAATAATAGCAAGAACGTGTGCAAGGCAGCCCATAATTTCTTAGCAAAACGAATGCCAACAAACCAAAGAAAGGTTCTAAAGCGTCCTCTAAGAGGTGGTGTCAAGTTTGCTCTTACAACGCTACGTCTACAGTCAAGCCATGCAATGCTTTAGAGCTGAAGATTTCAATGTACTGGGAAAACACAACAACTCAGGAAGATGGCCGGGTTTCTGCCTCTCATCCGCTCTGGGAAGAGCAGAGCTCCTTACAGGTCCTAGGGCAACGCTTTCTGAGCTGCCTGTTGGCATCAATTCAACCAGAACAGGAAACTTCCCTCGACTTCTTTCTCGGGAGCCCAGTTAAATTCACCGAACCTATAAAACGTGGTACCTTTTTAATGTCCACGATAGTCTGAACGGATAGCAATTCAGGTTTTACTTTGGGATTCCCTGAATTTTACTTTTCTGGAAAAGTAAAATCCGATAAGAAACATTTACCTTCACTGTATTTCCCCTTTTTTGGACATCAGGTTGCTTGTCCACATAAATGGGAAAAGGAGGCAAACTATTTTATTCTTTAGACACTGGAAAATACTTTGCAATTGAGCACTGACTGCTTAAGGGAGATTAAGACTTTTAAAAATAGGAAAGCTTTTTGAAGATCATGAAGTGAAGGGCATTTATGTATTTTTTTTGGTATAACTGCCATAGCAACTATCAAGAATAAATTTAAAATATATAACAAATGTACTTTTAATCTTACCCTTACTTGTGACTTTAAAGTGGACAAATATGACCCATTAAAAAACCTGGAAAAACCAATGATAAATTTATACTTCATTTCTAAAATGATAAATCATTTAAAATAGAAAAGAATGCTAAAATTTGATTAGACTTTAATATAACACAGTGGTTCTCAACCTTGGCTGCACATTAGAATCACCTGGGAATTTTTTTAAAATCCTGATTTCTGGGCCTCATCCTCCGGAAATTCTGTTTCTTTGTTACTAATGTTGTGGCACCACCCCATAACAAAGAAACAGAATTTCTGGAGGATGAGGATTTTTTAAAATCAGGATTTTAAAAAAAGATTCCCAGGTGATTCTAATGTGCAGCCAAGGCTGAGAACCACTGATATAACATATCAACACATAAGCTCAAGGTAAGTGTATAAATAGCAAAACTCATAAAAAGAATTTTTATTGTCCTTGAATTATAAGGCTTGGAGTAAACCGAGATATTTCCTAGGTGTATTAAATACTGGAGGTCTTCTACAGCCCATGATCATAATGCTAAATTGAGTAAGGAACATTAATGCTTGTCATTTATGTGTCATTAAATTATCTCTCTTTTAGAAGAAAAACCTGGTGAGGTTCTGACACATCAAAGACTTTCTTAGACTGTGTTTCATTTATTAACTGATGAACTTTAAAGAGTTAAGCAGCATTAAGGCACATGTTCTGGGCAGCTAGCAGATGGTGTGAAAATACATTGGATTTTATTTTTGTAATTCTAATATATGAACACCCTGACAGAATAATAGT